CTGCTGGGAAGGCAGGCTGGGGAGGCTCTGCCGGGTGCCGGAGAGAGCGGGCCTGGGGAAGGGGCTGGGGACGGGCCGCTCAGCCGCAGGTGGGCCGGGACGTCTGCCACCCGCTCTCCCTGCGAGCAGAGAGAAGCCCTGCTACTCACAGCCGACCTGGCCAGGCGTCCCGGCAGGTGGGACGTAAATGCCGATCCCGGCCTTCGAGTACCGCGAGTGGACGCCTCACTGAGCAGCACCAGGCCGCAGGGACCGGGACTGTGGTGCCGCTGAGTCTCCCAGAACTTGGGGATATTTTTAGTTACGTCAGTTATTTTAGAACCCAGAAAGGGGGAAACATATGCCATCTGGAATAGTTGGGGTTTATGTTTGTCTTTCTAGCACTGGGCATTGAACCCAGGGCCTTCACACTGAGCTACGTCCCCAGCCCATTTTTATTTTGAGACAAGGTCTCGCTGAATCCCTGAAGTCCCCAGGCTGGGCTCGCCGTGGGCCCCACCTGCCTCAGCCTCCCGTACGTAGTGCAGGGGTCACGGGTGCTGGCACTGTCCGAGCCCCTTCTGGAGTAGTTTTGAGGAGAGTTGGCTGAGACCCATTGGACCAGTTCTGAGCTCTTGGCGACAGGACAAGAAGCACTGGAAGGATTAGGTGGCCAGGCACCAAGGGCTTGGTGGCTTCTCCCCTCAGCTAGTCCTGCCATTAACCCCTTCCTCCCTGGATGCCAGGCGAATCCATGAGTCCGCCCCGCTTGGGCTTTGGTGCCCTTGGCCCCAGGCCTGGTGCCCACCTTGGCCTCCTCCACAGTGGCTTATTTTTCTTGGTCACTGAGTGAACAGCTGGAAGACTATTTTTCAGGGCATTCCTGAGATTAACAGGAATCTCAATAGCTACCCGTTCCCTCCTCTCTTTCTTTTCTTTAGCAGTAGGGATTGGACCCAGCCATTTACTTCGTCTTTTCTGGGACAGGGCTTTGCTGTGATGCTAAGTTGCCCAGGCTGGGCTGGCCATGCCGCCTTCCTGCCTCAGCCTCCCCGAGTGGTGTGACACAAGCAGGCACATGCTGCTACACTGTTTTTCTTTTTCCTGCAGGGATGGGGAGAGGGGCCTGGACCCCGGGTGTCCTGATCCCCTTCTCCGGCACTAGGGCTGCTGTGCACACCTGTGTGAGTGTGTGAGTGTGTACAGTATGTTGTGTTGGCTACAAGTGGCCAACCTTTTTGTGCATTTGCTGCTCAGCCTCGTGCTGGTGTCATTGCGGTGTGTGGTCCCTGGTGTGGGGACAGCGGGAGGATGAGCAGGGGTAAGGACTATCCCTGCATGGGCTCTGCGTAGTGTGGGAGAGGACCTTCGTTGCTCCATTTTGTTTTGCTAGGTTTTTTGAGACAGGGTCTCACTATGGACTTCAGGCCTCACTGTATAGGCCAAGCTGGGCTTGAATTCAGGGCAGTCCTCCTACCTCAGCCTCCCCAGTGCCAGGATTATAGGCGAGCGCTGGTAGGCCAGGAGACAGATCTGTTTTGGGGCTCAGCTCCTGCTCCCTGACTCCTGACTCCTGCCTGTGCCTGCAGGTAGCCCGACCTGTGGCTCTGGGTTTGGTGACGGCAGGACTTGCTGGATCCCACTTTTTGATCTGG